CCATTGGCTCCATTCGCAACTCCATTGGATACCATTGAACTATATAGCTGGCTTACTGCGGAACATCAAGGGTTTGATTTAAGGCCATGCAAAATTAATTAATTGGTTTTCATAACCCGGCCGGGTCAAAATTTGAAACCTTGTAAAAAAAAATTTTTTATATGTTTTAATCACCAAATTTTTTAAAAAAAAGCCGGCTAGCCGGGTCTGCTTAAAAGTTTCATGTTATAAAAACCAGAGATATTAAATTTGTGACCTAAACTTTTTGTCGTACCATTACTTGAGCTTTAGTAAATATCCTTTTTTCACCATCAATTACTAAGATAGCTGGAAATGAGCAAAATTCAACTTCAAAATCTCTAGCATCACCTTGCCAACTACCATCCATAACTTCAACATCAATAGGATCACCAACATTATAAAATTGAGTCTTGGGTGTTGGCTCTTGGGTGTGTAACCGAAAACCAAATATATTTAGGACTTGTCTAATAATTGAGGTTGCTTTTGAAGCAAGTTTACTTTTATCTCTTGATTCTACTGTTCTGTATTGATCCATTTCTTTTATCAGAGATTCAAGTATTTGTTGAATGAGTTGATGATTTTGTTTAGCAAATCCTCTATTGGAAAGGGCAGCGTAAATATATTGACGTAACTTTATTGGAAGAACGCGCGTGTGTTCATCATTCCCTGGATTAACATTTGAAAAACGAGATATCAATGGGCATAATTCTTGAAACCGAGAAGCAATGCCTGCCTCAAGTTGGTCGTCTGTTAAAAGACCTGTATCTGGTGGGATTTTCCTCTTAAAATTTTCAGAAAGTTCGTAGATATACTCAAGAATATGCCTTTGTAGGACAGCGGACAAAACAACCTTCATTGCTCTATCGTCAAATTTTGTTGAACATTTGTATTTTTTGAAGAGTTCAGAAACAGCTTCCTGATGGATTTGTATGTTGGTTCCTTTAACTCCAGTAAAGGACTGTAAATCACGTTGAAGTTTTTCAATATCCTTAACTAATTTCATGGAGTTATTAGGATCGTCATCACGCCATCTAAAATTCACAACATCACCCAATGCTGCTTGGTATCTCGCTGCTTCTCGCTTCAATTCTTCTATATGTTTTGCTGTATTACAAGAATTTTCGATTTGACGACTCGATTGTCTAGATTCGTCATATTCTACTGATCTTTGTTCTACGGAAATATTTCGTGCCGTTTCCGAGGGTTGCTGAACTCGATTATCTCTGGAAAAATTATTGACGTAACTCGCAAATTCTGAGAACGATAGAAGTCTATTAATGCAAATGTCACGTAATCCTAATCTTTG